TGTGTGTGTGTGTGTGTGTGCGCGCGCGCGTAGAGAGAGAGAGAGAGACAGAGAGAGAGAGAGAGAGAGAGAGAGAGAGAGAGAGAGAGAGGGAGAGAGAGAGATTGATTAAGAAGTTGTTTGGAGGAACTTTATAGTATTTTAGGTGTTCTTTATTAGATATAGGTCAGTAGAGAAAGTGGGAAAAAAAGCACTGGATAACAATGGTTACCCCTTACTGTGTGCTTACTCCATGTCAGGCACTGTGCTAGGCCCTTAAAAGTGTAGTCTTCTTGAATTCTCATAAGCCCCTGGCTAAGCAGTGCCTCTCATTAGTCCTATTTTATAGGGGTGGGGGTGGGGATGGTAGGGAATTGAGGCAGAGGACTTAAGGCGCTTAAGCCTGAGGCCACAGGAGTAGTGGAGCTAGAGTCCCTGTCCAGGTCTGCCTGTGGTCGTCATCACTGAGCCATTGGAGAAAGTGGGAAGTTGCCTTTAAAACATGGGCGTGCATGAAATATCACAGGAGATTATTTTTCAGACACAAATTTTGTCTCTATCCAGCCAGATTGGAAGGAAATTCTATCCGAGCCATCACCAGGATACTCTCCTTCCCCTGCCTGAGGTCACCCTCTCCCTTGTCCCCTGAAATCCTGCCAAGGTCTCAGGAACCTTATGTGCAGCAGACCATTGGGGAGGGGTCCTGGCTATGTGCTCCCTCCACCTCACTGCTGATCCATTGCTTGAGTGACGTCCATGGTTCTCTGAGGCTTCCAGGCCACACTTGGGTGTTGGGATCTTGTCAAGTCTGGAGCCCTCAGGTTCCCCACCTCTTGGTGCATCCTCATTACTCACACGCCCCAAGCCTCCTTCCACTTCCCAGGCTTGATGAGTCTCTTCCCCAGAGTCACCTGCTGTCTGGCTCCTTCTAAGCCCTGCCCTGGCCCCTGCTGGGAGGCCCACACTGAATTTAGAAAACAGGAAGGTGGGGCTGTGTTGAGGCAGCTTCTGCTTTCAGTCCAGCAACCCAACTGTCCCCAAGAAGGGGGAACAACAGGGGCCTGGCGCTTGGTTAGAAAGGAGTCAGGAGAGGAACACAGTGGGGATAGGAGATGAATTGCTGTCACAAGGAAGGATTCTGGCCCCTTCTTTTCTGACATGGCTGCTGCAGTGAGTTAGTCTGGCCGGGAGATTTGGGGGATTTAAGAGCATATATGAAGCCACTTACCCAGGCAGCACAGCCCACTCTGATGCAAGCCTGAGAAGAAGGACTCGTTGAGGTGGGAGGAAGGGGAAAGCCTCTGGCCTTGTCCCAGTCGGCAGCCTGTCAGTGAACTTCCCACCACTCCCTCCCCAGATTCTGACTCTGTGGGTGGGATTCTTGTGCCACAGGTGCATTGTGGGTGGTGGTGGGGAACTGTGTTTGGCAGTTGGAACAAGCCAGAAATCAAAGCAGCCATACATACCCCAGTTCCTGACTCTGAGCACTGCAGTTTGGGCCGTGCAGACAGCCTCGAGCTTGGGGAGAGAAAGCCTTGAGCATGGTATTGACCAGCCCTCTCCCACTCCCTTCCCATCCAGACCCTGGCAGGGCCTTTTCCTTGGCCTGGCTCCGAGCCGCCTGATCACCCGGTCTGGCAGACTCTCAGCATCTGCCCTACTTCACAGGCCAGGGAGGCTGGCGGCATGCCAGGGCCAGGCTCACGTCAGCAGCCGCCTGGGGAAGGGAGAGGGCAGAGTCTCCAGAGAGGCCTGCAGCCTCGTGGGCTGAGAACAGGTGAAAAGGCCAGGGCACCTGCGTGCAGAAGGGAGATGAAGGTGCTCTCCCTATCAGTTCATGCCTCTCCAGGCTGGCCAGAGGTGCACACCCACCCAGAGCTTGGCACACCCCTCGGCAGCACTCTTTGGTGTCCCCCACCCCCATTCCGAGCCTGCACCCTGAGCTTTATTAGTTCAAGCCTCGTCCAGCCTGACTGACCCTGCGTGTTGGGTCAGGGCTCCCAAACACTAGCCTGCTACACAGAAGCTCTCAGAAGTGTTTAACAGTTGCAAATTCCTGGCTCCACCCCAGAGCTGCTGATTCAGTAGGTTTGGGGCGGAGCCCATGCAATGGGTATTTATTTTTTAAACACTGGAAGTGATTCTGATGTTTCTCAAGGTCTTCCTCCTGCTCTCTTGGCCACCAGTGGCCAGGTTTGGTAGTCAGTGTTATAGGGAAGAACCCTTGACCAGAGTCTGGATTCTTTGTTTATCTCTGTGGCTGATCACCTGCGTGCCTTTGGGGATCGCTTCCTGTGTTTGGACATCTGTTTCCTCATCAATAATAATTCTCACTGTACCTTCTTCGTAGGCTTAGTACCTGGATCCAATGAGGTAATGAGATAAGGCCTCCTGGGTGTTTGTGCTGCATTAGAATTAGGATCCCAGGCTGCTCCTTAGCCCTATCTAGTCATCTCGCCAAACTTGCTTCTGGCCTCCAGCAATGCAGATGAGAGCATGTGAATGGCTCCATGACGTCCAGCCCCACTTCTAGGAACTGCCTTGCTGGTGATGGCTCACAGGAGCATTTTGTTGTTGTTGCTATTGTTCTGTTTTGTTTTAAAATTTTTATTTTTCAATTGGAGTTGATATTCAATATTATTTTATATTAGTTTCAGGTGTACAGCATAGTAGTTAGACATTTATATAGTTTACAAAGTGATTCCCCTCATTAGTCTAGTACCCACCTGGCATTATATACCATTATTACACTATTATCGACTGTATTCCCTATGCTGTCCTTCGCATCCTCGTGACTATTTTGTAACTGCCAACTTGTACTTCTTAATCCCTTCACCTTTTTCACCCAGCCCTCAAATCCCCCTCCCATCTGGCAATCACCAGTTCTCAGTATCTATGAGTCTCACAGGGGCATTTTATTCGTATCCTGGCCAAGGGTGAAGGGAGAGGAGGAGCAGGTCTGCTAGGGGAAGCGGGGCTCCACGAGGGCCAGGCACAGCATGTGGAATGTGTTTGCTTGGATCTTTTCCCTCCTGGCCCACATTGACTCTGTTTCAGGTCTCAGTCACTGCGCGGGAAGACGTGCCTGCCTTTGGCCCACCTCTGCCCAGTCCCCCCGTTTTTCAGAAGGTAGGAAACTCTCCCTCTGCTCCTCTCATTTCTAAGACTCCAACTCCCCACACCTGAACGGGCGGTTGGAGTGGGGCCAAAGCTGGGCTGGGAACGTTGGCGGACCTTGGCAGGGTTGGGGCATCTCCTTACTTGGGGTTTCTCCCCACCTCTCCCGCTGCTGCCAACCGGGCCTAGCACAGGACCGCTTGTCAGGGTGTTTGACCTTGTGCTAAAAGAAGCATTTTTATACCATGCTCCAGTCCCAGGTGCCTCGGGCAAAAATCGCCTCTAGTCACAGCATCGCCACTGCGGATGTGGAGGGTTGATTTCCCGTTGGCATCCTAGCAGGTGGGCTTGGCTGGGCTAGAAACGATCAGTGTCAGAAGGGGCCTTTCAGGGGCTGTCCCAGACTCCCTGTTCTGCCACCACTGCTGAGGCTGGGAGAGTCCCGAGGCTTGTTTGTTCTAGGGCCCGGAGTTCAGGGAGTTCCTGCTTACCAAGCTCACCAATGCAGAGAACGCTTGCTGCAAGTCGGACAAGTTTGCGAAGCTGGAGGTGAGAGTGCGATGTCTGACGGTCTTCCTCCTGGCCACCTGTTAGCCAGCCTCTGTCGGGTTCTGTTTTGGGGGGCTGTTCAAGGTGGGGAGCACCATCTTTGCCCCTCTAAGCCTTCAGCCCTGTGTTGATACTGGAACTCATTCTTTTTGCAGCAGTTAAATCCAAACTTCAAGTCTAGTCAACCATTCATCAGTCATTTATTGAGCACCTACTGTATACCAGAATTTGTTCTGTTCTCTGGGATATGGGGATAAGTGAGACTCTGTTTCTGCCCTGCCAGAGCTCACAGGCTGGTGGGAGGGGCTGTTGCTAAAGAGACAGGTACGGTACTGTATGCCAGCACTGGGCCCTGATGGAGGCCAGAACAAGGGCTGTGACTCAGGATAGTGACTGCCTCTTCCCAAGGGAGACTGGGGTTGTGTTCAGGGAAGGCTTCTTGGAGCGGATGGCCCTGGAGCTGCTATATCTGGATATTTGATGAGCCTTTTGCCAGGAAGATAGAGTGGGGAGGGTTATTCCAGGCATGGGAAACAACATAAGCAAAGAATCAGAGCAAAATCAGAGCATGACTTTGTAAAGGAGCTCCAGAGGATTTGCTGCGGCCTGAGAGAAGGACTCCTGTGGGGGACGGCATGGTGGGAGACTCAGTTGGAGATGCTGGTTGGGTCAGATCAAGAAGGGCTTTGAGCTAGAGGTGATGGGGCCCTAATGAAGTGCTTAGGCAGGAGAGTGATGTTTGATTTGTGTATTGGACGATTACTCTGACAGTGGTGGGGAAGATAGATTGAAAGGCAGGATGGGTGGCTAGTTAGAAGCTATTACAGAAGTCTAAGACAGACGATGACAGCTTACTTACACCGGTCATAGGAGGAAATGATTTGGGGTCAGTCCAGACTTGATGGACTTCTGTTTATAATGGTGGGGGGAAGCAGAATTGTGGGGGTGGCTCTTAGGTCTCAGCTTTGCTGACATGGAGACCGCTGGGGGATGAGCTCCTCAGGACCTGCAGATCTGGAGGTGCTGCAAAGCCTGGGTTTCTGAAAGGGCTAGTCCTAGTCTGAGTGGATGGTGCCCCCTGGAGGTTGTATATGTGGCTCTAGATAAACATCTAAATGGAGAGGAGCAGTGGGTAGTCGGGTACATGGATATGGAGTTTGGGGCAGAGATCTGGAAGTCAGCGGGGGCAGAGCTGGGGGAGAGGAGGGACAGAGAGAAGAAAGCAGAGGGCTGGACATGGAGCTGTAGTATTAACTGCAGCGTCTGTGAGCGTGGAGCTCAGCCTGGCCTTAGGTCCACACTGTCATTGAGATGTAGTTGGCCAGGAAAGCAACCCCCAGGCCAGGTGTCTGGAGCCCCCAGGGAGAGGGCACATCTCTGCCCTCAGTGCTAGTATCACAACTCTTACCCTCCTCTCTTCCAGGACCGGACGAGGGCTGCTCTCCTGGACAATCTTCACGATGAGCTCCACGCCCACACACAGGCCATGCTGGGACTGGGCCCAGAAGAGGACAAGTTTGAGAATGGGGGTCATGGGGGATTCCTGGAGTCTTTTAAGGTACGGGTACAAGAGGGGTTGAGGATTGCTGTGGCAGGGAGAGACGGGACAAACAAAGGAAGAGGTCTAAGGTCCACATTCCTGATCCCAGAGCCCAAGTGCCAGCCGGAGGTGGCGGGAGCCACAGGGGCACTGCAGGTGTTTGCAGAAGGCAGGGGCATCAGGAAGTGTGAGTGGTCGAAGCAGTCAACAGTGTTTGCTGCGTTCTCCACATCCTTCCTTGGTCTGGTTCATCTTCTGGCTAGGAGTCTGACGAGTAGGGGAAAGGAAAGAGAAAGCTGCAGGAGAGGAGCCAGTGCAAACCAAGAACATTACTGCTTCCACCTGCTTCCTTTTGTGGTTGGGAAACCCAAGGCAGGATGGCAGGAGGAAGGACACAAGTGTTAGGGGTCTTCAGTAGCCAGTGTGGGGTACTGTAAGGATTCTTCCCAGCTGACAGGGCACTGGAAGACTGACCAGGGTCTATGGCATGGAGTTACAGGCAAGTCCCTGTGGACTTTGCAAAGGGAAGAACTTTTTAACCAGAATGCGCTGCTAAAAGAAGTTATGAGCTCCCTGTCCCTGGAAGGATTCAGGCAGAGCTTGGACAGCCACTTAGCTGAAATGGCATAAAGAAGGTTCCTCATCACGCGCTTGCCAGGTGCATGTTGGTCCACATGGCACTTATATTCAGTATCTGATCTGAGCCTGGCTGTTACCCTCTGCCGTTGGTAGAATGGGTCTTGTTATTTCTATTTATAAATAAGAGGACAGGAGGAGAGGCCGCAGGACTGCTCAAAGCCTTACACCTATGTAGAGGTAGAGCCTTGTTTCATACTTAGGTTTTCTGGTTTTTGGGTCAAATGTTCTGCTAAATTGCTCGTTGCAGAGTGATTTGTAAAGCTACCATTTTGGAGATAGTGTGTAGGGTCAGAGTTAGATCTGCCTTTACTAGAATCCCAGCTGTTTGATCCTGGGCACAGTCTTTAAAGTTTCTGAACTAAGTTGTTTTCGTCAACAACACAGGAAGGATAAATGGTGGAGCTGTTGGGAGAATTTGTTGAAATAAAGTCCAGAAAGGTTCTCATAGCCTGGAATACAGTAAATGCTCAGTGAAAGTATGAGCTGTTATTGTCCTGTAAAAAAAATAAATAAATAAATAAAAAGGCTTAACACACATTATCCCATCTAAACCCTCACAACTGCCCTCTGTGCCCTGTGGGGAAGGCTATTATTATGGGTGTACTGATTTTGGTATATTAATTTATATCCAATTTTAATTATGAGTGTAATTTTAACTAAGACTCAAAAAGACACAATAATTTGTCCCAAGTCACCCAGCAGATGCGGGAGTTGAATCCAGGTCTGCCAGATTCCAGAGCCTGTGTTCCTACTGGCTACATGACACTGCCTCCCAGTTCCCGACTCAATTAAAATTCCACCCATTCTAGCCTGGCCTGGGCAAGCCTGGGGTTTGTCCTTTGCTGCCTGGCTGGACCGCAGAGAGCAGGACAGGACTCTGCTGGGCCTAGTCAGGGCCAGCTGCTGAGATTCCTCATGAGGGTGTGGGCAGGAGCTGAGCTGCTTGTCCAGGCTGGTGGGAGATTCCTGGGGCATCTGTTTCAGCCTTGATGGACAGTGGCAGCCAGGGTGAAATAGGAGAAACTGGAAGATCAAGAGGAGAGGGGGATGAGGGAGAAGAAGAACAGGGAGGAAAGAGGGAGCCAGGTCGAGTAGCCCAGCTGAGAGGGGTGAATGCGAGACCCTGTAAATAGGAACATCTTCGTAGGCTCCACCCCACATCATATCAAGTATTATCACATGTTCCCACATCCCACAGTAAATGTAATTTATATATGACTTGAGCTGCAGTTGACTGCAGACATTTAATGAAACATTTGTTGTTTTCAGTTTTGCAGGTTTCTTTCTATAGTTTGGAGTTAACAATTGTTTTTCCAGATTTCAAATATTTTTATAACCTGGAAAAGCTTGTAGGCCGTGGACACTCTGTCCATGGTGCCCAATAGATAAAATGGCCCAGCAGCTACATACAGGTTGTGGGTTTAAAGGAGAGTGGCCTGAGGTGATTTGTCCAGTCCCCTTGCCTCTGGCAGGAGTAGCACTTGCTCTGTTTGGACGCCAGCGGATGTGACTAATGGAGTTTCCGAGAGAGAGAGAGAGCTGCTTCAAGACTTTATCATTACTTCTCTTTGATCCAATAATCCAGGGAATTTTTATTTTCAACCCTAAATCCTTCCAACTGTAAGCTGAAGACAGACTAGTTTCTGCATTCTGCTCCATGCTTATGTCGAAGGTGGCACTGTGGAGTGAAGGAGGAGACTGTCACGTTCGGTTGCACAGAGCAAGCCTTCGGAGCCCTGATGGTTATGAGCAGCTTTTTAAAATCCTCCCTGCCAGGGAACAAGAGCTCTTTTGCCCTATTCCTTCCATCACTGCCCTCGCGTCCCCCGAACCGTGGAGGCTGGAGCTGAGGGCAGGCAAGGCACAGTAGCATGCAGTGGCCTGAGAGATTCTCATGTTTTGGCCGAGCCTGTGGCTAGGTCTGTGGTCTGCCCCAGCTCAGGAAACTGTCTCTGGTTTTGGTATTTCTTCATGAGTAGTGCTATGGTGTCAGAATTATTGGCATTACTCATGGAGTTCCTCATCCAGGCACCACGAAATCCCTCTTGCAAGAAGTGGTGTATGAAATGATTTCACGAAGGAAAGTTGCATGTTTTATCTCCTTCCTGTCAAAGTTCTCATCTTACAGGCACATGGAAACATAATTGAGAATTCCCAGGGCTAAAAGCCATCACAGCCATCTGTCCCCTGCTTCTTGTGACTGTTTGTCCCCACCCTGCAGCACGATGACCCTTTGTCTGTCTCTTGAGAAGCAGAGCTGTTACTGTCCTGGGTTGTGCTCGTGGCACCTCACACCACTTAGAATAACTCTTCTTCACATCTTGCTTCAGTTCCACTGGCTTTAATTTAAGTGTTTCTTCCATGAGAGAACAGTTGGTTTGTGGACATCCAGACCTACTTCTCAAACTGGGGTGCTTGGAGATATTCTCAGGAATCTGCAAGTTTTACAACACTTTAAAATTTTGCATTTTCACTTAGCCAATGATATAAAAAATATCTTTCCAATTATAGAGACTAAACTTTTGCAGTGAAACTCACAATTGAAAGACATGAATAAGTAGGTATGCTGCAAAAGTAGCCATGGGACCACTGGTGTTGGGGGTGTGTGGACATATTCTTGGAGTCTTGCAAGGATATTTTTATTTATAAAGAAGCTGTACATTACTCACCTTTGAAAACTATTGATCTCTAGACTATGGTTCTCCAGTGCCATTCTCAGTCACTGCCAGCTGTGGACGTTTTTGTTGGTCTCTAATAAAATGGAAAGAAACAGTGATCCTATGTGAGGTATCAACATGATATGTACACAAAGCACGTGTAAGCCAGTTTGAGAAACTCTGAGCTAGCCCAATCGTCTGCTGACCTCATCATGCAGAAGGGGGAATGAAGGACCAGGGAGGAGAGGACCATCCAGTGGCCCCAGAACTGGGACCCCTGAAAGCAGGGAATTGTCAGGTGAATTTCTCCCAGCCTTTGAGCTACTGTGGTAGTTAATGCACTGGTCTGACCTGACCCCTAGTGGCAGAAGAGGAGCACCAGGCTACAGATAACCCTGGCAAAGTCCCCCCAGATTGGGGCTGCTCATGGATGGATTGGAGCTGGTCTGTCCTATTGGAGGTGTGGAAGGATATTCCTTCTCCCCTCAGCCTCTGTCTTTTATTTGTGCTGCTAGTGGAACAGAACACCCTGTTCTGGACCTCATTACTTCCCGATTAGGGACCATCACAGAGGGCAAGAAATTCGTATCTTTCTCTTCAAGGGCCCCTGCCTGTGTTGCTTGCCTGGTACAGATAGGCACATCCCCCTTAGTGGTCATCTCTGTGCATTGGGTCCCGTAAGTTGACTTTGTTAAATTGAAGCAACTCATGAAACCCATTTGTAAGGAAGGGCGGTTTATGTTTGGCCCGGAGGAGATATGCTCCCTCCATGACCCTTGGCTAAAATGAGGTGGCACAAGCAAGTAATGGGAAAGTGACCCCACTCCTCTACTAACTGGTGTTCAGACCCTTGGCTAAAATGAGGTGACACAAGCAAGTAATGGGAAAGTGACCCCACTCCTCTTTTCTTACTCTCCCAAAGGAGAACTTGTTCAAAGGTAAGCTGTGAGGTGTGCCGAGGGCTGTGAAACCATGGTGACTGAGGGTAGGTGACAGAACCAGAGATGATTAGCTGTGTGGAGAGCAGAATCTGAGGATAGCTAGGGACAGTTGTGTGAAATATAGAACTGACTCGTCTCAAGCTCCAGGGTTTAGAAATATTACGATTTCAGCTCGGTGCATAGACAGCCTTTCCAAGGGTCAGGCTGTCCACCACTGGAACGGGCAACCCGTCCCTGGGAGGAGGGTACATGGATTGTGGTCTGGATGTACAAAGAGCTGAGTGGGAGAGAGGCTGGATGGTCCTTGGAGACCTTCTGATGCCCATGCAAAGGCGTCATGTGCCTGTCCTTCTCTCTTCTGCCTCCCTCTGTCTAGATCACTGTCCTCGTTCTCTTTGTCACCTTGTATCTCACACTCTGCCCAGTTCGAGAAGGCTAGTGCTTCCAGCTTTACATCAGATCGAAATGTGCAATAGTTTAAGCCATGTCACTGGGTGATTTTATCTGAAAAGAGCATTATTTTAGGATTTTGAGGTAGTCATCATCTCTCTCTTTTTCTGTCCCTAAGAACGGGTAATGAGAGCTGACCTTGAGCAAGCAGGTGTCACACCAGGCCTTGGGCACACATCATGCCATCCTCACATAGGGACCATTACCTCGTTGTACAGATGAGGAGACTGTGTCTCAGAGAGGTTCACACACCACGCTGAGAAGAACCAGGACTCAAACCCCTTCCTGTTTGCTTTGAGCAGCAGATGACCACCCTGCACATCCCTGGAATTCCCTGTCAGCCCACTATCTCCTCAAACTCTGACCGACTCAGCAGCACCAAGGGCATTTGAGGAGAAGATTCCTCCCTGACATGAGCCTTGGGGATTTTTTTGAGGAGAGGCTGAAACCACGTGGTTTCTAATCACCCTTAGTCCATCAACCTGTTGAATTATATATGTCCAACTCTGGACCGCTTTTTGGGATACTGGTACTCTTTCATATGAAGCCCGGGTCCTGGCTCCTCTCTTACCTGTGGCGTGACCTTGGGTAATCGTTTACCTTTCAAGACCTTTTCTATCAGTGCCTCTCAGAGTTGTAAGGACTCAGTAAGATCATGTATGTGAAGCTCAGAAGACCAAATACCGTCACACAGGGCTTATTACTCACATCGAGTCCTTTCTGGAAACAGATAATGAGTAATACATCAGAATATAAATGATTAATTGACATGTCATAGTTGATGATGGTGGTGGTGGCACACAGGAGGGTGCCAATGGAATGTAATGATGCTGAGCTTGATGGAGCACTTGACTCATTTAAGGAAACTGGCCACCTCAAACTGGTGCCACACCTTTTCAGTTTTCCAAAGGGCATGTGACTTAATGATCTTTGGGTGGCAGAATGAATAGAAGGTTCTGGCTGCTCAACCATGTTGCTGGAAACTGTTGCTAAGCCACTCCGTTCTGTGGTCTAGAAAGAGAGAGAGATTTCATGTCTCTCCAGAGGGCGTCTTTGGCTCAGAAGACTAGGTAACATCAGGGGTATGAGGCTGATCGACTCCCTGCCTTGACATTCAATATACTTGCCCATCTGCAGGGAGGTCATATTTACAAATGATCCTCCTTTCTGAATCAGCTTTCCTTGATAGAAAACTAGGCAGAATGCGGTCGTTGGTTATTCCCAACCTTAGAGAATTCTTGACCTTGGGGAGAACTGCCAGGGGCTCTGCTATTTGGCAAAAAAAGCTGATTTCTTGGGACTGCTGTGCTGTAGACCAAGTTCTTCCCTTGATGCTTCAAGGGAGGGAAGGGAGTTCATTCTTCCACATGATACCGTCTATACGTTGGTACATGGATTGCATAAGCTGACATATTCGTGTATGTGTGGGTATGAACCTAGTGAGGATGGGGCCAATGTCTACACATTTGTCTTTCTGTGACAGTTTTCTGAAGTTGAGGTTCTGAGGACACCCTACCTCATCTGCCTTACACAATAAGGAAAAGCCATTAGCTCACTTAGTCAGAAGGCTCAAGGTGACTCACGGCTTAGCATGGTCATACAATCCAGGTTCCTGTCCCTTTCCCCTCTGCCATATCCACTTGTCAGCTTTGTTCCTCAGGTTTGACCCCCTCACAGCCCCATCGTGGCTGCTGTGATTCTAGGGACAGACATGTCACATCTCTTTTGGGAATCATTAAGGAAACCTCTCCCCAAGCCCTAGCAGATGTCCCCTCATGTTCTGCGAACAAGGGGAAGCATTGTGTGACCACCTTAAATGGATCATAATTTAATCTTTTGCCCCATAGAGGAAAAGGGGACATTGAACCAGGCAGTAGCTCTGCTAGCAAGGAATGAGGTGGAGATGGGGCTTGTATGTGAACAACTAATAATATCTGCATCTACGAGTCTTTGCATGTGGCTCTGAGGCCCTGGGGATCCTGGAGAGCTAATTAATGCAGAGGGAGCACCCCCACAGGCCCCGGGTCTTTTAGCATTGCCCTAATTTTAGGCATATGTCTTATTTCCTCTGCTCACGTGTACACTCCTTAGAGGCAGAGACCATGTGTCACACTTTTGGCACAGCGCTGGGCACACAGGAATCACATGACAAGTGCTTATTATTAACAATAAGAGAAGCAACAGTTATTGGGTACTTATGATACATCGGGCTCTCTGCCAAGAGCTTTATATGCATGGCCACCTGACTGTGTTATTGAGTGACTGAATGAATGATCAAAGAGAAGTGATGTGGGGTTTGGGGGTTACTGGGGAGAAACTTGCCCTCCTAGAATCTCATATCATCTTGAAGGCCTTTGAAACCAGAGAGCATCATCTATGTGGTAGGTGGAATCCTCTAGGACTTGCCCTGTCAGGAAATCCTCCCTTGAGTCGAGCTGAGAGCTGTCTGTCTCACTAAATCACTCAGCGTCACTTTCCTTGGGTCAAATTTCCAAGGAATGCAGAGCAGTCTATGAGCAGCAGGCTCCCAGGTCCGTCCCTGCCGTGGGCTCAGCAGTCTTTGTTTTAGCTGTTCTTCTCATTGTTGCATGCACTTACTGTCCCGGTTGTCCCCTCCTGGACACTTCACTGTTTGCCAGTGTGCCTTTTGCTCTTTGTTAGCCCTAAATGGGCACAGGGCTCTATGTGGCCTGAACAGCTCCGGGCCTTCCGAGGTCCTGGACCTCAAGCCTGAGCGTGCATGTCCTGTTTCAACAGCTGTGCCAGGCTGTGGGCTCATATTGACAACATTTTTAGCCCCAGCAAGTGTCCCAGTGGCTCAAGACACCGATCAGGAAGAGCCCCTCCCACGGTTCGCCACCAGCAAACATATTCCAAGTTGCACAAGGCACACTTTGGAGTGACAGCAGAAGGGATACCCAATGTTTAAGTATAGAGAGATGCTTAATTTTCTGCAGAAACATCTAATTGAGGTCAGGCACATTCTGTGTTTAATTCCCCCATGATCCTGCGTGGACCATGTCATTTCCAATTTACAGGAAAGAAGCTGCAGCTTAGAGAGATTGGTCACTAGACCATGGTCACACAGGTTTGGTGAGCTGTCCAAGTATCACTTTCCTTCCCTGTAAGATGGACTAAGAACCTTTGTCCACCTTGCAGGGGAGCTGGGGTGCTGACCCTTCAAACACTCCCTGGCTGGTACGAAAATTCTCTGCACACTGTAGTGATTAGAGTGTGGGGCCACTGAGAGAGTGTGTGTGCATGAGTTTGCACACATGTTGAGGGCTGTCTGCAGACCCCATCAAGAGGGCGAGGTCATCGGAGGGGCCTGACTCCAACTCTCAGGCCCCTGTCACCTGCTGTCCCCACAGAGGGCCATTCGCGTACGCAGTCACTCCATGGAGACCATGGTGAGCAGCCAGAAGAAGCCTCACGGTGGTGGCCTCCCTGGCAGCCTCAGCGGAGGCATCTCTCACAACAGCACGGAGGTCACCAAGACCACCTTTTCGGTGAGTGCCCACAGTCACTGGGGTCCCCTAGGCCTGTGGGGGAGGGGTGTGTTCCCCCACCCTTTGGCCAGGCAATTAGGGTGAGCTAGGTGATGGAGGGAAACTAAGGCTGCATAGGGGTGACCCCAGGCCCTGTTTTCTGAAGTGGAGCCTCCATCCTAGGCAGCGCCTGGGGTCGGCCCAGGCTAGAAGCCTCCTGTTGTCCTATCCTCTGAATTTCCTTGACAACCTGGCCTCCCCCTTAGGGCCAAACCTGTAAAAATGGTCCTGGGATGCATTTTTCTGCCCAGGGACTTGGGACCCATGACTGCGAGAGGGGTGTCCTTGCATTGTTATTAATAATAAGAGTAGCTGTCCTCTGCCTGATGTGTGCTAGGCACCGAATTAAGCAATTCGTGGACATTACCTCATCCGATCCCTGTAACAGCTAAGTTACAGGTGTACTCCACTTACATGTGAGGAAAAGGAGACTGAGAGGGGTTAAGTATCTTGCTCCAGATCGCCCAGTTAAGCTGAGGAGCTGGGATTTGAATGCAGGTTGACCTGATCCCACGTCTTTGCCTCTTAATCACTGTGTATACTCTAAGAAAAGAGTATACTCACAGGTCTGTGAGTTTGGGTCTGGTCACTTTGCACCAGGGACTGGCCAGGTGAAAGAACCACGTAGTAGGTCCTTTTATAAAGCAAAGTGGCTTTGGCTTTGTGTAGATTAGGGTATTCTTTTCTTTTTCTTTCTTTTTTTTTTTAATAGTGGAGCATACCCACAGTGATACTAACAATTAGTATTATAAATGGGCTTGCATAAGCATTTAATTTATCGAATATTTTTATAGCGATTATCTTGTTCCATCCAGAAGGTCTATAAAGTGAGTAGGACAGGGCAATTATCGTCATTCTGTGGATGAGGAGACTGAAGCCCAGAGAGTTTTGCCACTGGCCCAGGGCTGTATAACATGCGAATGCCAGAAGCTGGGGCCTGGGTTAGAGGTCTGGCAGGGTCTGAAGATCAGCGGCAGGCTCTCATATCCCCCTTCTCAATCTCCCACCCCTCTGTTGTCCCCCACATGTGACTAAAGCAGAGCCACATTCTTGGCAGGCACCCCCTGCCTGTGGGTGTGTATGGACCTGGCTCTGCTGCTGTCCTTCTGTCTTGTTTGTGACATCCAGCTTGGGCCCATTTATTTGCAAGGAATGGGTGGGGAGTCCCTGGGTTCTTTTGCTTGTTCTGCCAGTGATTTGCTATGACCTTGGCCAAATCCCTTCCACTTCTCAGCTTCCTCACTGGTGAAGCCACAGGTTGGGCCAGGTCACCCCCAGAGCTCTTTCAGCTTTGTGGTTCTCAGTCTGTGACCACTCTGAATCATCCTGTCCTTCTCCAAATGTGGGGCTCACATTTGGAGCCTGTATTCCTCCAAGAAGTTTTTGGTAGAAAGTTACCTGGGGCCACAGGGTTTGGCCTAAGAACGTAGGGAAACAGGCTGCAAGTGGCTTGAGCCTCGGGTCCCAGCTCCTGTTACACAGATCCCAACCTTCCTAGCTGTCTTGCTATTTCCTGGGATCTCCTCCAGACCAGTTAGAGGGTTGCAGGGGCTAGTCGTAGACCGGAAGGGGGACGAGGGAAGAATATCTGGGTTTGGGGTGTGAGCACTCATTTTGGCAGTTTCATTGGCAGCCTCCAGTGGCAGCGGCAACGGTGAAGAACCAATCACGGAGCCCCATCAAGCGGAGGTCAGGGCTCTTCCCCCGTCTGCACACGGGCTCTGAAGGCCAAGGGGATAGCCGGACACGATGGTAACTGTCCAGTGTGGGGTTTGTTAGTTCCCTCCACTGCTACAGCTGTAAGATGGCCACCTCAGCTTTGCACAGCTTCGGGAGATGGCTTTCTTCTAACTGTGGTTCCCACTTCAGGCCCCTGAACAACCCCTTTCCCTCGCTCAGCTCTTTTTCCACTGAGGCAGCTTTGGCAGCCTCTGCACCAGACTTTCAAAGTTGTTCTTGTTGCATTTTTACTCGAACTAGAAACATTGCTTAGATTCTTTTCTCTCTTTGCTTTCTTTTTCAAAGTTCACTCAAACGTCCCATCTTATGGAAGCCTTCCCTGATTCTGCCAGGCAGAGTTAACTGAACCTTCCTTTGGGCTTTTAGAATTTTTTTTTTAGCAACTCTCGTATCATACTTAACCTGTTTTTGCTAATTGTCTTTCTGACCCTTTAATCAATGAGCTCATTCGTTGCTCAATTCAGCAACAAACAGCATTTCTTGAGTGTCTGCCATGTGGTGGGCTCAGTGCTCAGACAGGAGCTATAGAAGACACAAATCTGCCCACAGAAGCTTACAGTCCTATGAGGGAACGAGAGGCGTTTAGGTTGACTTCCAGGTTTCTCAGTTGTCTGCCTCTGGCCCTGGATGGTGGCACCAGCTCCTGAGCTTGGGCATGCAGGATGAGGGGCAGGTTTATGGAGGAGGGTAAAAAGCTCTGTTTCCAACCTGTACATGTGAGTGAGTCTTTGTGGGCCATCCCACAGAAGTCCAGAATTCTGAGTGGTCAGAATTGCAGGTCTTGAGCTTAGGAGAGAGGCCTTGACTGGAGAAGGAGAGGTAGGAGTCACTGGGGTGGAGCCACGTGGTAGTTAAAGGTGGATCACCGAATATGATCACCGGAGAGTGTGTGTAGACTGCCTGGGGCAGCATTTAAGGGCAAGTGGAGAAAGGAGAGCCAGTGAAGAAGACTGGAAAGGAAGATGAGAGAAGCGTAGGAAAGGCTGGAGAAGGGGAATCTCAGAAGCCAGGAGAGGAGGCATTCCAGGAGGGAGGGTGAGACGTGGTACAGAGAAGTCCGGCATGATGACCCAAACCCCTGCTTGGGCTGACAATTAGGAGGTCATTAGAGACCTCATTAAAAGTACATCGAGGCAGTTCATGCCTCTAGGATGGCTATGATCAGAAGTGCTGGCAAGGATGTGGAAAAATTGGAGCCCTCGGGCACTGCCGGTGGGAATGTGAACTAGTGCAGCTGCTTTGGAAAACAGTCTGGCAGTTCCTCAGAGGGTTAAACATGGACTTACCATATGACCTGACCATCCCATTCCTGTATACCCAAGAGAAAGAATACATATGTCTACATAAAAACTAGCATACAGATGTTTATAGCAGCATTATTCACAATAGCCAAAATTATAAATGATCCAAAAGCCCATCACTTCACAAATGGATAAAATGTGGTATATCCAAAAAATAGAATATTATCTTGCCATAAAAGGAGTAAAGTACTGATACATGCTACAACATGATGAACCTTTAGAACACTATGCTAAGTGAAAGAAGCCATTCATAAAAAAAAAAATCCACACCAGATTATATGATTCTATTTATATGAAATGTCCAGAATAGGCAAATCCATAGAGATAGAAAGTATATTAGTGGTTGTCAGGGGCTGGGGGAGGGATAATGGGGAGTGACTGTGAATGGGTCTGGGGTTTCATTTAGGGGGTAAAAATGTTCAAAAATTAGATAGTGGTGATGTTTGTGAATATAGTAAAAACCATTGACTTGTACATTTTAGTGGGTGAATTGTGTGTACATTATATTTCCATAAAGCTGTTAAAAAATATAAGTGCCTTGAGGACAGGCTATTATGTCCTCAAGAGCAGGCACAGGGCAAGTAGTGGGCAGCGGTACATGGTCTTTGTTAAACTACAGGAGAAGGAAACCCTGGGGCCCTGGGCTGGGAGGAGCCCATTTACCCAGACGCCCTTCGTAGCACTCGAGGCTGTGTTGGCACACACATCCAGGGAGTTCATGTGAAGGGTGTCCCCTGGAATTATGCAGCAGTAGCCTTGCCAGCATCCCTAGGCCTGCCAGCATGTGTACCTGGCTGTGGGGGTGGATGTCCCAGACCCTACTCCATTCCCTCTGTGGCCCACTTTTGACCTAGCACTCTGCCGGGTGGATGGCCTGTGTGGGTTGCAGGTGGACTTGGGCTTGGGGGCATCAAGCCAGGGCTCCTGCCTGGTAGTTCTTGACTCTCACATAGGAGCCTGACACGGCCCCTTGCAAAGCAGAAAACCCTGTTGTCTGCCCCTACCCCATCCCTGCAGTCTCTGGGTGGGGCGTGGGTGGAAACAGAAGTCCCGGAAGCCATGCTCTGGCAAGGAGCCTGTGCTGAGAGCTGGTGGTGGCTCTGGCTCTGACTTAGGGGTGAGGTAGGGGTTGGAGAATGGCCCCCGGGCCTCACTCCTCTTTATCCTCATTTCCCCAGTGACAGTGCATCTAGCAATCCCAAGACCCCTGATGGTGGACACTCTTCTCAGGAGATAAAGTCTGAGACCTCATCCAATCCCAGCTCTCCGGAAATCTGCCCCAACAAGGAGAAGTAAGAGTGAGGGTGGGGGAAGGGCTAACTTTAGCCACTTGGAGCCCTGAAATATGTCTCTGCCCCAGGCATCGCTTGCTTTGAGAACTTTCTGGAACACCAAAGCCAATAGGCAGGGGTGTGGGGAGCCACTGGTGGGCAAGCTCAATCTCTGCATGTGAGGCCTGCCCTGCCCTCTGTCCTCCTGTGACCAGGGTGGGCCTTCCTGTTCCCTGCAGGCCCTTTATAAAGTTGAAGGAGAACGGCCGAGCCAACATCTCCCGCTCCTCCTCTAGCACCAGCAGCTTCAGCAGCACCGCGGGGGAGGGCGAGGCCATGGAGGAGTGTGACAGTGGGGTAGGTGTGGCCCTGACCAACCCTGGGGAGCAATAAGGTACCTGGGCCCAGCCAGACACCCGCTCTGTGCATTAAAATAGCAACTGTGGGCAGAGCTGCATCCAGGCTCTGTGGATAAAGGGGAAGTGTAGAAATAGGAGGTGGCCCAGTCAGCCATCTTTACCCTCTGGGACCAGTTGTTTAAGGGGTCTCCCTGGAGTGACATAGGAGCAGCAGCAAAAAGTCAGAGGCAAGAATGAGTGGGTATCCCTCCCATGGGGTTCCTGGCTGGAAAGCAGAGGGGTCTGTGTTCCATGGGGCTGGCTCAGGGGCACTTCCTAGGGGTCGGAGGGGAGATGTTGGAGCCAGAGTTGGAGGCTGCAGAAGGAAAGAGCATGTTCAAGCGAGGAGTGGGAAGCGGGGGCTGCCCTGGGTCTGCTGAGGCACCGGCCGCCCTGTGGGTCTGCCGAGGGTGGGCTAGCCTCGCTCACCCGGCCTCTCTCCCCAGAGCAGCCAGCCGTCCACGACCTCGCCTTTCAAGCAGGAGGTGTTTGTCTACAGCCCGTCCCCGAGCAGCGAGAGCCCCAGCCAGGGGGCAGCTGCCACCCCCATCATCATGAGCCGGAGTCCTACAGGTCAGTGGCGTCTGGCAGTATGTGCCATGTGACTAGGGGCAGGAGCTGGAGCTGTGCCCTGACCACTGTTTGTGGGGCTCATGCCCCAGGCATACTGAACTGGGCAGTTTTCTCTCTAATGCCAAGTGTGAGGCCCTTGAGCTCTGCTAGTTCACTGCATCTGTTCATGAACCTTAAGAGGCCTGTGTTCTTGTCCTTTCCTTGCCTTACTCATGGGGAAACTGAGGCTCAGAGAATTCAGTGATTTGTGGAAAGAGATGGGATTGTGTGAGTCAAAAGCTGAGACTTTTCCACTGACCTCTCACTCCACTCGTCACTGACCCAGGACCCCTCTGTCACAGTGATGGTCCTGAATATGTAAGAATACGAAGTGGGGAGTGTTGCAGGTGGAGGGGACAGCACATGGAAAGGCTGTGTTCTGGGACCGCACCTGGGTCAGTGTTGCTGGAGCTCATGGAGGGGACAGGAGACAGAGGAGGCAGCTGTCAGAACGCCAGGCTGGGGCTGCCACAGACTCTGGTGAAGCCACTGGAGAGTCTTAAGTCTTTGAAGGTTCTTAAGCAGAGAAGCATCATTTGGAGTTAGAGAAAGACCATTCTGGCAGCTGCAGCTGGTTGAGGGGAAAAAATTGGTGGGGAGCAGGGACGGGGAGTGAGATCAGTGAGGGGTGATGGGCCGTGGATCTGCGGGAGTGTGTCTGGAGCAAAGGGAGAAGCTCGTGGATTCAAGATGCCAAGGAATTAAAATCTTCTGGGCTCACTCTGGGCCTTTCCGGATTCTGTGATCCCTGTGGAGAGAATGGAGGGTTGGCACCTGAGGGGCATCCAGGTGGATGTGTACGGTAGGCATTGCTGGGCGTCCAGAAATTAGAACTTCAGTTTTGCCCTTGGGTAGGGCAGCCCATGTGAAGGCCAGTGTAGGACTCTGGAGCCTGGGTCCTAATCCTGGATCCCCCACTTACTTGCTAGCAATGTGACACTGGACAATTACTGAGCCTTTCTGTGCCTTAGTTTCCCCAAGCAAAAAATGAAAGGAGGAGAATAGTTTCTATCTCATGGTTGGTTGTGTAAAGATTAAATGAAACTTACAACTGTTAACCTAAGTGTTTGTTAAATAATAGGAATAGAACAAGAGTATAATCAGTGGCTCTCAACTGGGAGTGATCTCGCTCTCCAGGGCACATTTGGCAATGTCTGGACAAAACGTCGTTTTGATTTTCAGGCTTGTGAGAGGAGGGCGGTGCTGGTATCTAGCGGGAATGCTGCTGAGCATCCATCCCTGCAGTGCGCGGGGCAGCCACCATGATGAAGAATTATCTGGCCCCAAATGTCAATAGGCTGAGGTTAGAAACTCTAAATGGTGGAGACACGGGAAGGGCCGGTTCAGGTGTTTCCTCTCACTCAGTTCCCTTTGGCTGTGCAGCTGTGGAACTGGGTTCTAATCCTGGTTGCGGCATTGACGGGCCCATCTCTCTGAGCCTCAGTTTCCTCATCTATAAAGTGGGATAGTCATACAAATTCCCTGACTTAAAAAAGTAAGGCTTAATTAACTATTAAAGGAATAAATGAAAGAATCTGTAACAAAGCTTGGCTCCTACTTGTTGTTAAATAAATATCAAAATAGATAAGGTTTTGAGTAAAGGGAGATGTAGAGAGTATGAAAGTCACCCAGAGAAGAAGGGGACCTAAAATGCTCCTGGTAACTCCTGCCTGGTGCTTACTGTACCACATGACCCCCTCCCCACACCGTATTTAACCCTGAGGGGCTGCCTCTCACCCTTGACCCTACAGAAGTTGTGCTCTGGGTACCGACAGAACCACTCTGGTCCTGCAGAGATCTGGAAACCTGTTTTAGGCTGTCTGGCTGTATCTGTGGAGAAATGAGGTTGAGGGGAGGGAGGTGGCCTAAAGGGCCTATCAGTCTTCCATAATCTCAGACGCTCCTACCGTCAGTCATTTCATACCTGTGCTCCTTGAGAAGGGATTGGTGAGTCACACAGAGGCGCTCATGGTGCTGGGTGGAAGCCTTTGATTGAAGCACCAGGACTAAGTCAGCGGCCTCCAGGTGGCATGTACTGAGCTGTAGGTTCCCTTCTTGGGCCAGAGGAAAACCAGAAAGCCAAATGGCCCCCCTGCCAGTGGTGGGCTGGTAAATGTTTGACAAGTAGCTCTCTTGCCCCACACCCCACGTATATGTTTATTGTAAATATTACTGATATAAAAGATCTGAACACAATTTATAAGTAATGATAATATATACAGTATTCTTTACTATAAATCCCACATAGCCAACTGATGCTCCTAAAACATTTTTATTGATGTTTGCCTAATCTTTGTATTTGTAGACAGCTTAAGGTTGCAGATGACAAGCAAGTGTAGTGCTGACATGAATGGTGATTGATATTATTTTGTCAGTGACACGAGCAACTTTGCAGAATCAAACAATAGTTTTCAAATACTGGAAGAATATTTACTCAGTTTTTTGTGTTCTTCATAATGTAATAGCTATAGATACAATACATTTTCAAGTTTAATCTAGGTTATTAATATTTTCTCCATTAGTTTAAGTCTAGACAACAAAATAAATCAAGCTCTAATTAGTAGCGTTTGCTGATTTCTGTGGTGTAAATAGTCCTACCTTGACTGATTTCAAGCTACCACTGTGATGCGGAGTTGGGAAGAACTACCGGACAGATACAATCAATGTAAATAAGCTTAAAAGAATAAGTAATAGTAAAATGTAGTGAAATAACTAGGGAGTGATGACTTTTGAGTATTTGTTACCTTTGTTGAGGACCATTTATTTATGAACTTATATTATTTAATTTTTAAAAAATATGTGTAACAACTAGCTCACAACATATCTAAAAATTTAAGAGTTGGCTCTCGGGCTCTTGTGAATTGGTGCAAGTCTGCTAGAGTGCCTAGTGGAGGGGAGGGGGCCACTCTCTCCTGGCCTCCCTATCCAGTTCCCCCTCAACAGCCCCAGTGACCTTTACAGCCCCACACTCTCTTCATGGCATTCTTTTTTTCCCTAGATGCCAAAAGCAGAAACTCCCCGAGGTCAAACCTGAAATTCCGCTTCGATAAGCTCAGTCATGCCAGCTCTAGTGCGGTAAGGATCTTGGGGTGTCAGGGTACCAGGGGGAGCCTCCTGCATTCTGCATTCTAACCTCCTCTGAAAGCCAGTCTTCCTTCCTGGGGACACATCACAGCAGTGGAAGGAAAGCTCTGGTCAGAACTGGGGATGATGCTGTCAGTCCCTGCAAGGTGAAGCCATCAGCCTGGGGGTCACCAGCCACCTCTGATGTCCTGTGTGAGAGCCATACCCTTGGACACACACAGATGTCAATTGTGAATTGTTGGCTTCTGGGGCCTCCAGTCCCTTCCTGAGCTCACCAGAGAGTTAAGAACTAAGAACATGGAAGCTACAGTTGGTGGGGATTATGTTGTTTAGTTTTTTAAAACTCTTATATGGATTTTTCTTGAAACAGGGTCACTAATGTGAAAGAGGAGTCCTTTGCCTGTCAAAGGTAGGTCAAGTGTTTGTCTGGCTATGGCCACATGGCCTGATAACCTGAGAATGGCCGGAGAGACCCTGACAGCTGGGGGGAGGGTCATTCGCCTCTTTGGAAGCCTCAGTGATGGAGAGGAAGGCAGGTTGGCCTCACGCGTGGATGGGAAGGGTTGTCCGATAGGACTGGGCCAGACTAACCGAGTCAGTCTTCCTGTCCTGGAGGAGGCTGGTTGAGGAGCAGTAGCCCAGAGCCCACTTTCCTTCCGTGGAGGGAGGAGTCCTCAGTTTTCCCCCTGGCCTTTCTGCTCCAGGCAGCCTGTCCCTCTTCGTGACTTCGGCCAGGGCTCTGGGGTAAGATATGTCTTCCCTGAGCATCCAGAGATGTCTTAGCCCCCTAAACATTGTGTAGGATGACCTGAGGGATGACTTCTGCTTCTATCCTCAGCCAGGGGAACTTGTGGTTTTCAGCGGAGCAGGACATGGGTCCAGCTCGCCTCAAGGCCATAATTCTTGCTGTGAAGTTACTAGAGACTCATTCGGACTCCCACCCTGCCATGGGGCTCCAGGAGTGTGAGTCATAGTTGGAAACAAGGGGAAGCGCAGAGCTGAGCCCATTTTATACAAACCTGATCAGTGAAAAAACAGAAGAGAAAGTGGGAATGCTGACATTCACCTCCAGCTCCCATCCTGTACTTCTCGTGCCTCTGTTCACCAAATTCAAGTTTATGCCCAGCTTCTCAGGCTGTGTAAAGTGTGGCACTCTTGTATTCGGCCATTGCCTGTCCTAAGCACGTTCAGTGGGCTGTGGCCACGGGCACATGTGTTCTCCTTCACCCAGCATTTGGTCATCATCTCCTTCCTCTTTGTCTCCTCCAGGGAAGCCCCGATTCCGTCTTGGAGAAGGCTCCTATTCCAGCATTTGGGGGTGCCGTCCACTACTCTGACCATCACAGGCCTGTTGCCCCACTGGCCACCTGCCCACCAGACCAGCTGTCTGTCCCAGTGTCCCGACCTGGCCACAGCCCTGCCCAGTCCTTCGTCAAGATACTCTGACAGCCTCTTCCCATCTCTGGACAAGGCCTCATTCCTCCAGGCTCGCCTGCTCCTGACTGCCCAGTGTGCTTTGTGTCTAGGTCATCTGTCATCTTGTTTTGTCTGCAGAGGCAAGAGTTGGGCAAGGGAGGATCTGGCTGCTGGGGACACAGAGACCAGAGAGGCAGAGAGAGTGGTGAGGTGGGGAACCGAGGCCAACAGCAGGACTGCGCCTGGGGAGGGGCAGCGCTGAGTCCTGGATGTGGCAGGCACAGCAGATGCATTTAGTGGTGGTGGAGAGAGCACTCTTCCAGAAGCCAAGGTTTGTGGCTCCTCAAAGATGTCCTGACAGAAGTCGGCTCTGTTGCTCTCACATCTCTGGACTGCTTCTGTTTGCTTCTGTGCTAGGAGCTCCTTGCCCACCTGCTGACACCGGGCCCAGGGCCGCTTCCGTCCCTGCTGCCAGTGTGTCTTGAGCGACCTGGCCGGTTGAAGCCGAGACCGAGCTAGGTGTGTGTGGGAGCCGGCGCCACTTTCTTCCTTGATGGCCTCATTCACACAGGCCCCAGTGTGTTTGCTGTGGGAGAAGCCCTGTGTCAGTCTCTCCCCTTGGAGCAGATGTTTTTTCCATGAATGGGTGGGCAGCCAGGAGTGAGAAGGGAATCTCGGAGAGCGAGCCAGTGAGTGCCAGGGCCTTGGCTGAGCAGAACCTCAAACCCGAGGGCTAGGCCAGGATCCAGGTCTCTGCTGGTTGTGGAAGTTTATGAGAGAGACTTCAACCCACCTCTTAGGTGAGAGCTAGACAGGTGAGGTGGGGATGACTTGTCAGGTTTTGTCAGGCCAGTGGGTGAGTATAGAACTTAGGTGTGGGAAAAAAGGAGCGTCCTTCTGCATTTTATATTCCCAGCATCTGTGGGGGGCCCGGTGCTGCCTCGGGGGCTCTTTCTAGCTACTGTGCCCTTTGCCTATGTCAGAGCTTGATTCCCCAATCCTCCTCTTCCCCTTTCCCACTGTGGGTCTGTAGGCAGTTGTCACATTGGTGGGATACGTGCAACCTGGTCACTAGCTGGCTCCAGTTTGGGCACCGCCACCCTGCACCCTCAGCCAGAGCTACCTTTGCTGGGGTGAGCCAGCTCCGTCTCTGAGGAGCAGCTTTCTCCTCACTTCTTACCCTTCCCAGTCTGCAGGTCGTTTCTGCTGACTGGCCCTGGTGGGGTTTCAGGCGGGGCATCCTCCAAGTAAAATATAGATCTGAAAAGCAGACCCTTAATGGTGCTGCAGCTTCCAATGTATATGGGGCCTCTGTGACCCGAGGCTGCAAGGGTGACTCTGGCTGGGCTCCTGCTTTAATGAGCAGATGACAAAGATTTCCAATAGGATCTGGGCCTATTCCCAAATCAAGACACATAAACATTATACTTGTTTTTGACTGATGTGACAATTTTCCCAACTGCTTTGAACATTAGAGCAAAACCTCAATCCTTTGTCCCCCACTCATGTGGACATTGTGGGACCCTCTCTGCAGGCTGGCGGACCTCTCCCCTCACACTGTTTGGGAAATGTGTTTACTTAAAGTACTAGTCCAGTAAAATTTATTCTAGTTAGAAGGTCAACAAATGTCTTTCGCTTTTATTAAAAATCACTGTAGCAGCACCCATTGTTGGAATGAGGCCCAGGGATTCTGGCAGCATTCTGTTGGCTGGGTTTCTGAAGGAACTTGGAAGGTCAAACCGCATTTCTTTGAAAACAATTCCAGAGTTCTGGCTCGCTTCTCTGGGTAGCTGGTATTGACAGCCTCTTGGTGGTCGTGCTGTGTTGTGTCGTGGTCTGGGGGTCCCCTGGAGTTTCCAGGTCATCCCTGCTCTATCCTACTTGGGAACCTCATACCCACCTTCCCCTGCTGCTCCGGCTGCTCTCCCTGCAGCCCCCACCTCCTGGGAGGGCTTCGCTCCTACCTCTGAGCCAGGGGCCAGGATGGCTGGGTGTATCCAGGGAAACGGAGAGGCACAGTTGTGACCTGAGAACTGGTATCTACCCTCTGTTTGCTCATGGGGGTGCTCAGGGCAGGATCTGATATGTCCCTCCCTCTGGGGCCTGTGTCACCATCTCTAGGAGTCCATCCTATGACTTCCAGCCCCGCTGAGGTTCCAGGGCTAAAGGCGAGGAAGAGAATAAGATTTGTAGTCTCCCTTCACCCCTGGGGACCATGGGCAGGCAGCTTGTGTTCCTGGAGGCTGCCTCCTTCACACTCCCCTTGTATCTTCTCTGGCCCCAAATGTCTTTCCTTTTATTGCTGCGCCCAGTCTTGGGGCTCAAAGATTTGCTCAAGCCTCATTGGTCCTTGTGACTAGACTCATTCTGATGGTGCTCATGCTGGTACTTGAGGCATTCTGTGTGTGATCTCCTGGACACAGGAGAAGTGTTTCCTGGCATGTCTCTGGCTCTGGGAACTGCCTGACCCATGGAAGAAGCTGTATTTGTCAGGCTCTGTAGGGTACCCGTATGCCTCTGCTCAGTTGATGCTTAAAAACAGATTCAGAAAGAGCTCGAAATAGAAGGTCTTAGCTAGAGTTTCTGTCTATGCTAATGAATGGAAACTAGTATTTCTTAGAAAGTATTCTGTGGTTCATCCTCGTTGGTATCATCTTGATGTCCTTGCTTTCCCTGCCCCTTTTAGCAACCATGTCATCTTGCAGATGAGAAGCCTCAGCCCCAGTGAGGGGAAAATAACTTGCTTGAGGTCAAATAACCAGCTAGTGGCAAAGCTGGGATTAGAACACATAACCCAGGGCTTTTTCTTTGGCACTGCCTACATGGTCGATTAAACAAATGACTGCATTTCCTAGGGCTCTGAGTTTTGTGGAAGCCAGTTAGCTGGTGTCTTGGCACTGACTGGGAGGTGTCAGCAGTCAAGGGTGCTGGCAGGGCCTCAATCTCTGCCCTTTCATCAGGAGGGATATCCTCTCGGATTTTTCAGTAAGGGCCCTGGGGTTTTGGATGCAGCTTGGGCAAAGCAAAGGAAGAGG